TAGGTGTATTTTAATTCTGTGTGGGTCCCTCTCTTACAGGCATCATGGGAAGCAGCACATTTTCTGATAGGTAGGTAATTCTCAGGCCTTTTACAATTTTTCAGGTCAAAACTAAGCATTTGAAGTCCACTCAGTAGCTAGACAGAAGCCATAAAAGGACTCCAGCACTGTAGAGTCCTATGCTCTGCGCTTAAAAAGAGTGACTGAAATGAACATAGCCCCATTTTATAAAAATGCCACCTTCAAGGTCTCAAAAATGTGGAAAATGTTATTACCCCATGCTTGAAAGGAAACTAAGGGAGAAATAAAAAAAAAATCTTAAACATTTCCTGATCATATTTTTACTACCCTTGAATTACACTTCCAAAATGTTATTTTTTATTCCACCCCTTTAAAATTTACCATATCTATGCACAATTTAAAGTCTACTACAAGTATATTTCTCTGGGTACGTTCTGAACAGGACCAATCTTTCAAGACACACATTTACACCTGCATTTCATGCGTCCAGCTAATTTTTAAAAACTGCAACAAGAAGGGACTTTTACTTAATTAATGATCAAACAGCATGAGGAACAATAAAAATTAAATTGCCCACAATGTAATAGTTAGCACAGTTGGTGAAGATTATCTGGTTTTGTCATAATGACTCATTGTCTGTATAGGAATAGTCACAACTGGTGTTTCAGCTTTAGTTGTAAAATTTTAAAGATTAAAACAAAAAAATTTCCTCTGTTCACATGCGCAAAAAAATATAGAAACAGAATAAAAACTTTAAATCACTATGTGAAATTTTGGCCCTGCACTCTCAAAAACACTAAGTTTGTGCATAGAAAAGAGAACAAATAGAGCTAAGAAATGGCGTATTTTCTAACATGTCTTCTTTGAGCGTATTTCTACCTACTTGATATTTACAGAAGCAAAACTAAAAATCAATGCCACTAATTTTTTTTTTTAATAACTATGGCCATTGCAGGCACCATCATACTTTAGTCTCACAAAACCATTTCCCACCATCTTGTGCACACGGGACACAAGCTGTCATTATACTGAAAATTAGCAACACAATCCGATTCCCATCTAATGGTCACTCCTGGAACACAGGTGGCTGCAACAGAGGGACTTGGGGTCTGTTTTCCTCAAATCAGTCTTTGGACACCTCAGCATCAGAGGTGAAGCCCAGCTGGCAGGCCATTGCTCCCCCCATAGAGCAGCACTACCTATAGGGTGCAACTCTGTTACCCACTTCTGCTCCCTTCCCAAACAAATCCCCCAGAAGAGACACAGTGAATTTATTTTCTCAACAAAGAGCCTTTGAGGTGGGGAAAAGAATAATTAATCTTCCTACTGGAAAAATATCTCATCATTATCACAGGTGAGGTGTTTGTGAGCATTTTATGTACCTGAGGGCTCCAGGAGCAGGCAGAGTGGATCAGGAAGCCCACCTGGACATGGAAGCCAGGCCAGGAGGCTGCGCCAAGCACATCCCCAGGTGCCCAGAGTTAGCGCCTGCCCTCCCCCCTCATTACGCACAAGTGACATCAGGGCCATTTGAATAATCAGATTGCAGCCTACATCGCCTTGTGAGATACCAGCTGCTCTTGGATTGCAGCAAGGTAGTGCCCAAAGCCTCGGACCACAAGTTCCACCACGTACGCCATGGGCAGCCACCATCTTCCTCCTGCAGTGCTGCTTCCTCAGGAGAAAACTCATCTAAGTAGTGGATGTGACTAACAGTGCCCTGCCTTCCCTCACAGAGTGTGGCAGAGTGTGACTCGCAGTCAAAATCATTACAATGCCTCCTCTAACTTTTGCATAAAGTGACCTAAACCCTTAAATATTGCAATAGCCTTCTTCCACACCAAGGGGTCTGAATGCAGAAATGCTGCATTCCTTTGGCGTTCCCTTGAGACTTCAATAGTAAGTCAGGAATCTACTCCTGAGCTTATTAAATGCTTTGCACCTCCCCCAAAGTAATTCCCCACCTTTCCATCAAGAAAACCTTGACCAGGGCTCTTTTTTCAACCACAGCATATGTCCTGGTCTGTTTTTTAAATACTTCCAGGGAAGTGGTGGGTGGGGGGGGGTTGGGGGAGGGAAGGGGGGAAAGCCACACACACAGGCTCTCTCCTTACTTCCTTCCACAGCAGGTAGGAAGGCAATTTTGAAAACCTGGGTGTGCCCACTTCAAATCAGAAGATCCAGTAAAGGCTGGAATGCAGTGACTACTGGGCCCAAGAATTTCGCCCTGAATAGCAAGCCAGGCACACTCCATGTCTTCCAGATTCAGCTCAACTTTATGGCAACCCTAGCTGACACCACCTCTTGACCTTCCTTTATGTGACAAGGATATGGATTACCAAACCCTTACCCTTTCCTCCTGTGCACCTCAGCTGTCTCTGGAGAAAGACACCCACGAACTACCTTTGTCAGTGATAATGTACACACTCTGGTAAAAAAATAAATAAATAAAATAATAGAAATCCCCATAAAAATCGTATTTAAGGAGACTGTGAGGAGGGGAGCTAGGAGTCTCCATGAAGCAGCCTCAAAGCAGCAGAGGTCAATACAATGTATTGAATAATTTCATTGTGCTACAAAACAACTTTTGCTCTTACGAAGTAGTCATTTGACCAAACTATTAAATGTACTCTCGTGCTGAAAGGCAGACTTGACGCTTCCACTTTTTTTTTTTTAATGGCGTCACTTCTCCAGCCATACCTCACCCACTGGAGAGCACAGGGCTCTTTGGAAAGCGCTTCCCGGCCTTGCAGAGTGCAAACACACTGGGTGGGCCTGGCCAGCAGCACCCCCCACACCCCAGCTGCTCCTACACCTTTCCCTGCTGCAAAGAGATACAAAGACTTCAAATAAGTTACTTTGAAAGAACCTTAACCACTTTCACCAGCAATACTCAACATTTGAAAACTGTGCTTGTAATTAACAACTCAAAACATGTGCCCAGTAAGCAGTATTTCGAAAAACAGAAAAAATCTCCAACTTTTTCACATCCTCCCATCCCCCCCCCAAAAAATCTAGACATCTATAAAAGGAAAAAGAGAGCCACTATTACATATGGAGGCCACTGAATGAATTTTAAGTGTCTCTCTATATTAGATTTTGGGAGAGGGGGAGCAGAAACAAAGGGGAAGGAAGTACAGTCGTAAGAAATACAATTTAATTTTCTGTTAAACAGCAGTATAAATCTGAACTGTATCTAATGCATTCCAACAAGATAATGCACGATGAAACAGTGTTTTAACAAATAAGGGCTTTGGGAGAAGCAACACGGGTATGCTGATACAATTACATTTGCAATTTTTTTCAATATGCCTATATGCAGGCTACGCAAGCCTAGAAAAAGCACTTGAAGTTCAGTGTGTAATTCTTTGCAACAAGTTACAGACAGATAAATGTTTCTGATAATTGCTAATTCACAAATAGGACACGGTACCCAGCAAAGAACAGACTTCTGCACCATTTCAGCTGGCAGCTGAAAGAACAGAAAAATACTTTAAAACACATTAAACAATGATAAAAAAAAAAAAGTTGGGGAAGCACCAGTGATTTTAAATTTACCATTATATAAGTGTAATTAATTTATTTTCAAAAGCATAAATAGAATACTCTTTGTGCAAGTTTAAGATTAACAAGTATAACAGTAAATTTATTAGACTAATAGGAAATCATCAATTTTTATATGCCCCATGGAATTTTCTTCTTAAATTAAAAGTATACTCCATCTACAACAGTATTTTTCTATACAAAATCTTTTAAATGCAGACTACTGTAATTCAAAACTATATGCATTGCATATTAAAGGAGAAAGAACACATACACCATATTAATTTTCAATGAAAATTATCAAATAAATACAACCATTAAGAGTCACGTGCAATGAATTTGTCCAGAGAGGGGTTCCCCCTTCCCTTAACAAGGGCAAAAAACCTCCATACTTTCTCAAGTGAAGCTTTCTTCTAACACTAAAAAGATCAAACTTCTAATTCTCAAAATACCATGATACAATGCCCATCGAGACAGATAAACCATCTTTTCCAATTAACTATCTTAAAAAGACTGAAATTTTAAAAATAATCCTGAAACAGTAGAAGTCCTTTTTAATAAAGTTTCACAGACAGACATACTTCCCAGATTGAATAATGGAGTGCAGGAACAAGCACGTGGAAAGTTTGATCTTTTTTTTTTTTTTTACTCTCTAGTGCATGCCAGGTTTTCTATCATATAAATATTTGTGAAAGAAGCAGGCTGAATTGCTATAGGCAGCATAAAAATACTACTGCTTTATTCCAAATATTGCTTCTTTACATGAGGCCCAACAAAATTTCTGCTTTGCAAAAATTAAATGTGTGTTTAGAAATTAAGGATGCATAAATCCTGTCGTTACTGGGAAGAAGTCCTTCTCCTGCTGCTTCTATAGACCAGCTCAAAATAGCTATGATAAAATCCTCTCAAATACAGATGAGACTTCTACTATGTGCCTGTAAAATGCTGCAGATTCCAACATGGCAGGATCAAAAAAAATATAACCACCAGTATATTTACAAGGTGCTTTTTGTTGCTGAAGCAGAGCTCACGTGCTTGCCCGTTATAGAGTGCACAACACCACATTTCATTTCCTGCTAGCACACAGATTTTAACTCTTCTCACAGAACTTTAAATTTTAAAATCTGCACGATCATTTGCCATCAGACCATAATAATTTACTTCTCCCACAGAAAGGTGCCGGTTTTTAAAAATAAATTAAATAGTACCATTGCTGCCTGGCCAAGACACTACATTAGAAATACATGGGGTGATTCTAGAAAACCTCTCGGACTGCACCGAGTGCACGCCTGTGGGTTTAAGAAAGCGGTCCATTTATCTACAGGGAAGAGAAACACAAACCTAAGCATTTTTCAAATTGCTTCTCACTGGATAACTAAGGGCAAGGGGCGGTGCGGGGAGAGGGGGGATGGGGGGTGTGGATAAAAATAAATTACCTTTGTCTTTTCGGGACCGAATGTTCAACTTCTATGAGTTTCCCATGCAGCTCCACTTTACCTGCCGAGATAAACAGAAAGGGGAAAATATTCGAGCGCGGCTGTGCGTCCCGGTCTCCAGGAGCGGGCACGCAGGGGTGCGAAGCAGGAAACGGGAGCGCAACACGTTAGCCCATTCATCGGCGGCCCGGGCAGCGGCGGAGCGGGGCCGCGGCGCCCGGGAAGGCGGCACGGCCCGGCGCCCGGGGCCGCGCCGCTGCCGCGGGGAGCCGCGCTGCCCTCCCGGGGCCCCTTCCCCCGCCCCGCGCCGCCAACAGCCCGCGAAACGCCGTGTGCGGGAGCCGGGCTCGGCCCCGTCTCGGGGAGGGGGAGCGGGGGCTCCGCCACCCCCCGTGCCGCCAACTTCGGGCGATTTTCTGCGCGGAAGCGGGCGGGAAGGGAGCCGGAGGGAGGCGCGGAGCGCAGCCCGAGCCCATCTCCTCCGAAGCAGCCTCTCGCAGCAGACCTGAGCCCATCTCCTTCGCGGCAGCCTCTCTCGGCAAAGCTCCGCAAAGCCGCTTCACGCGAAAATAATTTTTTTTTTTAAGCACACAAAAACAGGATGTCGGGGCTGGGAGCCGGCGCTGCTGGAGGCGGTGATGGGTGCGTGAGAGCAGCGAAGAGAAACCGAAATAAATAGCAGGGCAGCGCGGGGCGGGGGACAGGCAGGGCTGCCCCCTCCCAAGTTTGGAGCAATTCGGCGGCTCGCCCCCAGCCCCGCGGCCTAAGCCAAGCCGAAAGGAGCCCCAGCCCGCTCCGGGTGGAGTTGGCCCCTGCGAGGGAGTCCAGCTGTGCCCGGGGGTGTGTGCAGCCGCTGCCCCGCGCAGGGCTCGGCGCCCGCAGCCCGCCTCCGCCTCACTGCACTCACCGCCCCCCCCAATGCAGCGAGGGCCCCCGGGCGGGCAGGGCTGGCCGTGGGGCTTGGAAAAACATGGGAACCGCCGCGCCGCGGGTCCCTGGGCCCAGGCTCCCGCCCCTCCCCGGCCACTCCCGGGGGGCCGCCGCCGCGTAAGCCCCGCGCAAAGGCTCCACGGGAAGGCCGGGCGGCTCCGGCCGAGCTCGCAAAAAAAACAGTTCTCACCTCACCTGCGGGCGGAGGGAACAGGGACCCCCCCGGACCCCCCTCAGCACCCCCCAGACCAGCGGCGCGGCCCAGGCCGCCGCTGCAGCCGCTCCGCGGCCGCGGAAGAGCTCGAGAGGCGGGAGCCGTCGGGGCTGCGGAGAGAGGGCGGGGGTGGTGGAAGGGGCCGCTCACCTGAAAGTGCCTCGATGGCCTTCATAGCCCAGCTCTCGTCGGGGCAGTCCACGAAGGCGTACCCCGTCTTCACCAGGAACTGGCCCGAGAAGGGTATCTTGGAGTCCTTAAAGAGACTTTCCAGGTCGAGAGGGCTGACGTTCTCGCCGAGGTTGCCGATGTAGAGCTTGTTCATCTTCCTGGCGGCTCGGGGAGGCGCGCACGGCGGGCTGCAACCCTCGTCTTGCGAGAGGAGGTGGGGAGGAAGGGGGAAATAAAACAAAATGCGATGGAGGAAGGAGAGAGCGAGAGAGAGAGAGACAGGGAGAGGGAAAAAAAAAATCAGATCTGCAGCTTGTGTCCCTCCCTCTCTCTCTCTCGGGGTAAAAAAAAAAAAAAAAAAAAAAAAAAAAAAAAAAAAAAAAAAAAAAAAAAAAAAAAAAAAAAAAANAAAAAAAAAAAAAAAAAAAAAAAAAAAAAAAAAAAAAAAAAAAAAAAAAAAAAAAGGAAAAAAAAAAAAAAAAAAAGCGTGGCCAAACGGGAGCCCTAAGTGCCTGCCGTGCTACCCGGGCGCATGGGGGGCACGGGGGAAACACCCAGCGCCGGGGCCGCGGATGGCGGGCTGAGAAGAGGAAAAGGAGGAGGGGAGGGGAAAAAAAACTACTTTTTTTGTCTTGCCCCCAAGCCCCTTTGGCAGCAGCAGGCGGACTATGAAAATGTCACACTACGTGCATGCAGGCGCCGCCTCTCCGTATTAAAAAAAAAAAAAAAAAAAAAGAGAGAGAGAGAGAGGGGAGGGGGGAGGGAAGGACGGAGAGAGAGAAAAAAAATTACTTGAATATTCCGGCTTTTTGAATGAGCCACGTGTTCAAACTACAAATCAACTTCTCACGTGAGGAATCCCAGCTCTTCAATTAGCGAGTGGAAGGGGCGCACACACACTCACGGAGAAGGAGGAGGAGGATGGGGTGAAGGACGGGGAGAGGGGTGGGGGGAGGCTGGACAGGACAGGACAAGTTTAGAGAGGGCCGGAGGGCGGGGGAAATGGAAACCGGAGTTGGGTGGGCTCCGGTCTGCGCCGCCTCTGCCCTTCCGCGGGGGGAGTTCGCTCTGCGCGCCCCCTCCGCCCAAAAACGGCTGTGAGACCGCACCTCCCCCCGTGCGAGCAGGGTGTGATCCCGGGGAGGGAGGGGAAAAGGCACCGCAATGCCCGCCCCCCCGTCCCGCTCCTCCCCCGCCGTGCCAGGCGGTGGGGATTATTCATCGGGGTCGTGCCTGGGCGATCCCGCTCCCCGGCAGTATGGGCTGGGGGGAGGAGGAAAAGGGAGAGGAAAAAGAGGGGGTGCGATGGCGGGGGGAGGTGGCCGGGGAGAGAGCGGGATCCGCTCCCGCGCAGCGCCGCCGCGGCTGCGTGCTGGGGGGCTGCGGGCGGGGGCGGGGGTCCCTCTAGCCCCGGAGGAGCCCCATATGGTAATGATCCCGCATTACTCGCGGTGCCCCTTGCGCTGAGCCTTACGGAAAGGAGAGAGAGGGGGAGAGGGAAAAGAAAAAAAGACAAAGGGGTGGAGGAGAGTTGGGGGATGATGAAGAAGAGAGTCCTGGGGTGAGGGAGCTGCCCGGCCCGGGGAGGGGCGGGGGGGCCGCGCTCCTTTCCCATCTGGGCAATGGTGGACGGCGTGGGGGGAAACGCGAAGGCACCGTTGCCCTCGGCTGGTAACGGCACACAAAGGGATTTGGCGACCCCCCCTCCTTTCCTCCCCCCCTCCCCCTGCCCGGTCTAAGGAACCATTCATAATTCTCCACATTCGTACAGATACAATGGTGGGCTTGTGGGGGAGGGGTTTGGGGGTGTGGAGCCTTTCCAGTGCAAACAAAACGTTGCCTGAAGATGAAGAAAGGATACGGAAATGAAAGCCAGCACTGTGTTTAATATAGCGATCTAGTAGGTTTTGTTTAATAATTCAACGCACTTTAGCCAAAGGTTTCATTTATTCCGTGGTAGGCTTCTTGTGGTACGTTTTAATAGGTATATCCATGGAAAATGGTTAAATACTTTTATTAGTGAGCAGTGACTGGATTTCCACATGTCCTGTAGTATGTCTGGAAATCTCTAGTAAAGAGGAACTCTTCCTAGCTTTGTGCCTAACTTCTAATAAGTATGCAATTAAAGAGGGGTGGTTTAAATCTCCTTGGAAGCCGTGCAGGGGTCAGGCTTTTGTTAGGCACGCTGCGGCCGCCGCAGCTCGGCGATGGTGGTGGTGGTACCCAGCGCTCAGGGGGTGAGTCAGCCGCTGAAGATTTCTCTTGTGGTGGTATGATGATGCAAGGAGCCATGGCTCACCATGAGGCTGGAGCCCCAGACCATTGTGAAATTGTCTGGGGCTGGGGGAATGCTGCAGTAAGTTAGAAACACGGCCCTTTTGTTGTGTGCATCCAAGGGGTTGGTTGACCAAAACCCTAATATTTGTAATTTCTAACCCATTGTTTAATCTTAGGGTTATTTTAATGAACTTTTAATTGTCAGGTTGTGATTGAGGAAACCGAGTGTTTTGTGTTTCAGTAATCAGAATTTAATCACAACTTCCATTTTGTAGGAAATTAGCAAATAATTATCTTGGGGATAGATTTTTTTTTGCCTAGGGATTTAACCTGTTTATGACTTTTTGATGTTGCATGTGGAATTCTTTCCTAAATAAATTTGTATTTCATAACCCCACTCTGTATAGTCTGCTTAAAATAAATAATTGCTTATCTAAGTTAAAAACAGCCCCCTCCAAATAGCTGAATTCTTAGTTAAACTTGTGAAAGGAATTAGTCACTGCTCCTGCAGATTAATTGCATTCTTTATAAATTTGATTTGTACTGCATCTATAAGGCATGTGCTGCATGTGCTCATTTCTACATGATTGGTCTATAGCACTATCTGGTATTTCCTTTTAAATTGCTAAACAGGGTGAATATATTTCATTTAATATTCTGGTCTGAAAATCTGTTTAGTTAGAAGATTTCTTTAAGAAATTAAGATTGAATGTTCGTGATAACAATATGCATCAGTTGTCCAACAACATCATAAACCGCTTTGTAATCAGATGGTTGGGGGAGAAAAAAAATCCTTACTTATTAGCAATCCCCCCCTCTTTTTTTTTTTTTTTTTTATACTCTGAAAACCTCTTGCTAATAAGCTGAAATATTTTCTGTAAATCTAAATAATGTATAGCTTTGTTTGTTAAGAAGTGTGGGTTGGTTAGTGGTTTCAAGAGTAATTCCAAATCTTGAATGCCAAAAAAGGCAGTTCAACAACAAAAATTGGTTCATGTTGCCTGACAAATCTCCACTTCCCTGCACAGATGAATATAGTTCAGACCAGTTGGGCACCCCCAAATGTTCACGTTATTGAGAATATAAAATTTGAGGTGTAATTTGTTTTGGCAGTCACAAATCAAATGCGTGAGCACACAGCAGAGCATTCCCACATATTAATGTATTTTATTTATCTCTGTAAGAAAAGGCAGTATTAAAAAATTTAATTTTTTTCTGGATTTCATTTGTTTGTTTTTATTTCCCACAGAAGCCAAGAAGTTGAAATACTTACATAAATATTGCACACAAGGAAGCACAACCAATCTTAAATTAGCAAGGGCTTTGACGACATTCTGCCGTTTAGAATTAAAACTCAGCCATGTGCTTCTCCCCACCTCCGGGTGAGAATCCGAGGGCCTCCGCCGTGTCCGTCCCCCCCTCTCGCACGGCCAGGGGCGGGCAGGGCGCTCCCTCTCTGCCTCCTCCCGAGGCCCGAGCCCCCCCGCTCCGCTGGGCTCGGCGCACGCTGGGTGGGTAGCACGTCGGACAGCCCGCAGCCCAAGTATTTCCCATTAAATTTCTTTTTTTTCGGCTGGGCTGGGTTTTGGTTTGGTGGGGTTTTTTTGGACTGCAGCCGCCCACGGAAGGCTCCCGCGTGGGCTGCTGGCGGGGGCGCGATGGGCAGCGGGGGCCGGGCGGCCGGCGCGTGGCGCGGCGGCGGCGGGCGCTCCCCGCGGGCTCCGGTGCGCCGCCGCCACGACGGCGGGGACGCCGCCGCCCCTGCCTCCGCCACGGCGGCGCGGGCGCGGAGCCGCCGCTCCTCGCGGGGCGGACACCCGCGCCGACGGGACGGGGCCGGCCAACCGCGCTGACCCGCCCGGCCCCGGCCCGGCGCCGCCGCGCCCCCTGCCCCCTCCATCCATCCGTCCGTCCGTCCGTCCGTCCGTCCGTCGGTGCCTCCGCCCGCCCTCGCCTCGCCGCCATCCCCGGGGCGCGCAGCCCCCGCGGGCGGCCATAGCCGCTCGTAGTAAAGCGGCGCGGCGGCGCCGCCTCCCATTGGCTGCGCGCTGCGCCTACCAGCGCCGCCCGCCGCCGCGGCGCGGCCGCCCATTGGCTCCCGCGCCGGCCCCCGGGGCGCGTGGCGCGAAAGCGGCGGCGGGGGCGGCGGGGGCGGGGAGGGGCGGCGGGCGCGGAGCGGCGCAGACGGGCGGGGGGCGCGGCGCCACCGGCCGGGGCAGGGCCGGGATGGGACGGGAGAGCCAGCCCGCTCCCGCCCTCCTTCCCTGCCGGCGGCGGCACGGGGCTTTGTAAGGCGGTAAGTCGGTGCCACGCCGCAGAAGTGCCGGTTCCGGGGCCGCCCCGCCGCAGCCGTGACCGGGAGGGCCGGCGAACAAAGGAGCGGCGGCGCGGCTTCGCACGGGGAGCGCGGCCGGCGCCGCGGGACGCTCGCACCGGGAGCCGCGGGATGCCCGTACCGGGAGCGGCGTGGTCTCCCCGGGCCGGGTGGCGGTGGCGGCCCCTCGCCGCCGGAGCGATCTCCGCTCCCGGGCGTGGAGCGGCGCTCCCGGGGGCTCCCGCCGCCCCTCCCGAGGCGCGCACCGCCGGCCCGCCCGGGCAGCTCGTGGAGGCGGCGACGGCTCGGCGCCGGCGGCCGGTTCCGCTGCCGGGGCTGGGAGCTGTTCGGTTCGGCTCGGCTCCCCCGACACCGGGGAGGGGGCCGGGGCTCGGCGCAGCGCCTGCGGGAGCACCGGGGTCCGTCCCGCTCCGCTCCAGCTTGGAAGTTTTGATCATAAAATGCTACAATACTCGATGAATCGGCAACGGAGAGTGCGGCGGTGCCGGCGTGGAACGAAACAAATAAACCACACGATGCATCGGAAGTTTTAGAGCTTGAGATAAAACAATGTAGCCAGCTCTGTGCGAGTTTCTTTCCAATAAAAAAGAATTACAAAGAGGTTAGCTGTCTGTGCTCTTTTGCTGACCGGAAAGTTGCAGGAGTTATTGATTCTGTAATGCAATGTGATCACGGTGTTACTGCAGTAAAATAATACAAACAATTTCTAAATAAGTAGTCCGGTATATGAAAGATGGTGACTGTGGCTTAGAACGAATCTCTACATGCTGATTTGAAAGTAAGTAATTTTTTTCCCATTTTGTCCAGGGATCTCTTTATTCAAAGTACTGAATGCTCGGTATTTCTTGTTTTTATTTTTCAAACAGATCTTTGCAAATAGATCTTGCAAAACAAATATCTGATCACCTACATTTTGATTACATGAAAATAATTAACATCTTTTATATATATATATATACGTGTATGTATATATATATATATATATATATATATATATACACACAAACTTTTCATCAGTGTTCACTTCACTTGGCACAGCTGGATTTAAAATGGGATTTTCAAAGGAGAGTTTAACCATATTTCAGGTCGATATCTGAAATCCGAGATCTTTGCAATTGTGTTTGAAGGAGCACATAGAAAAAATATAAATATATAATATATATTACAGCCAGACAAAATCAGAACTTCATTTGATCAAGTGACAGAATAATTGCCAATATGGCTTCCTCTAGCTAAAGAATATTTTGTGGGGCTTTTACAAGGAGTGAAGAACTGAAAATGAAGACACTATTTAAGAAGTAGAAGTGTTTCTCGCTAGTG